TCTTATGCAGATCTTCCAAATGCTGACAACATTTTCGTATACATATCAAAAAGGTCACATTTGTTAATATCACCAGTGACCAAATGGAATAGTTCCTTAAGTGTTAGGAAGTCATCAAGCTCAGGATGGCACAAACATGTTTCCCAAAATTCTAATTTTCACTTGAAAGTTTGAATTTTATCTTTGGCAACAAATAACGTCAGATGTTTTCTGTGAAGTAACAGGCTCACTTTATTGGTTTTCAAGAAACTGTCTATCAAATACCCCATCTGAATAACTACAGTGTACCGCTCATTGTTTCAGGTGAAAATGGTGTTCCCTGAAAACAATAACTAGTTCAGCTCACAACTCAGTCGCCAAGTACCCTCCTTCAAACAGCCACACTTTAGCCGCAGAGGACAGGTGGGCGAGGGAATCTCCCTTCTTGTCAGGCAGAACAACAGGTACTGAAGAGCAAGACTGATCAACGATCAGCAAAACTCATCATGCTCACTGTGTAGTCTTGGGGGAAATAAGGCTCTCAAACACAGGCATGACAGTGAGGAATGCCACAGCTACTAGGACAATGTGGCGCCACGGCTGTGATCGGGCTCAGATACCAGTTTTACCTACCATTCCTTTTGCTCCATCAATTCAAGGGTCAGCACTGTGAAAAAAGCATGTTAGGGCTATTTTGAAAATGATTCTGACCTTATAGGCCCCCTGAAAGCGTCTCAGGAACCCTCCAGCATCCACAGACCACATTCTGGAAACTGCTGGACCAGGTTTCTCTAAAGTCTAAACCTCAGTGGCTCAACAGGAAGGATCACCTCTTGCTCATGGTACAAGTCTCACACAGGTGAGTCAGGGGCTCTACTCATCCTGTTTCTCAGGCAGCAAGGTCCCCTCAACATGCAGACTCCTGGCTCACTGCAGCAGGGGGGTGGGGGGAGCAGTAACCAAACGTCACCTGGAAAGGACAGTTAATACTGGAGGAATAAAAGCCAGCCATGAGGCCACTGCTACCTTCAAAGAGGGCAGGAGAGGCGATCCCACCCGCGCCCAGGTGAAGACTGAGCTACGGCTTGTGAACACCCCTGATGCAGGGGAGGTGTGCTCCACCTCATTACGTACATCCACATAACCGGACAGGATGGCCCGGTGCACTCCCTTCCAAGGCCTGTGTTACTGAGGGGGAAGCAAGATGGAGCAGCATCTGACAGGCCACCGGGGCTAGCTTATGAACAGCTGATCCATACAGTCACCCCGTATTAGGAACTGGATGCTTCCCCCCAAATCCCCATGCTACTGTATTCATCCTCAATGTGATAGCAGGGGAAGTGACATCCGTATTTAGAGGGCCTCTGGGAGGTCACAAGGGTAAAGCAGCTGTCTGATGCCAATGTCTGCCACAGGAGGCCAGGAAACGACATGCCAGTGAGCGTCCTAGAGGAAAGGATACAGCCCACAATCTGTGGGTGCAGATCTGCTCCGATTTCTCCAGACTGACTGTTGCCAGTAGATCTAGAGCTAACAAATCTCCTAATTTTTCAAAAGAAGCCAGAGAAGAGATTTATTTGAAATTTCATATATTTTTAAACTCTACTGTGCAAATACTGCACATTAGCTGTTCTGTCACAATGTTATCAATTAAGAATGTGAACTTTAAAACCAGGCAGCCCTGCATGAGATTCCTGCACCTGCACAAAGGAATAATCCCAGCTACACAGAATTCCTACAAAGTAGAAAGAAAGACATCCTCGAGTAAAATGGTCAAAGAATATAAGGCACAATAGGGAGGGGAGCTATAGAATCACCAGTATGATGTTTACCTTTTCCAGTAGTAAGGGGAACTTAAGGCAAAATAACATTCTATGCAAAATTAAATTCCAAAACAAAGATTTAAACATGAAAAATGGTGCAGATAAAAGACATCAACTAGTTGCTCCTAGAAAGGCAGTCCCCGTGGCCTGAGTGTATACAACGTGTTGCTCCTATCAACATAAAATGAAAATGTGAGCACCATCTCTCACACATCAAACTGCAGGGGAGGTGCGCTCCACCTCATTACGATATCCACATAACCGGACAGGATGGCCCTATGTACTCCCTTCCAAGGTCTGTGTTACTAAGGAGGAAGCAAGATGGAGCAGCATCTGACAGGCCACCAGGGCCAGCGTATGAACAGCTGATCCATGCAGTCACCCCGTACTAGGAATTGGATGCTTCCCCCCAAAGCCCTATGCTAACGTATTTGTCCTCAATGTGATAGTAGGGGAAGTGACATCCATATTTAGAGGAGGGCCTCTGAGAGATCACAAGGGTGAAACAGCTGTGATGGGATTGATGGCCTTGTTGGGCGAGGAAGGAGCCAGAGCTCTCCACAACACGAGGTCCCCACCAAACACAGAATACATCAGCACAGGTGGAAGCCTTGGACTTCCCAGCCTCCAGGACAAGGATGTGTTGTTCAAGCCACCCTGTCCATGGTACTCTGCTGCCACAGCCTGGAGCGAGACTCACAAGTCCTCTGAGCCCCCATCATGTGGTAACGAGCCCTGCCTTTGGTTCAATGCCCTCTTTACAGAGTTCAGCCACCTAATGGGAGAAAGGACAGATCACAGCAATGATTCAACAGAGGCAGACAACAGATCAGGGCTTCTTATGTTTTGAGAAATTAGACCCAAAGAAATTTACAAGGCAAAAATTCTACCAAGAGTTACAAAGCCTTCAGTCTTGCCTTTGTTCCCACCCCCCAAAACCCACTTATGGTCACAGATCACAAGTAAGAAACAAAGACACTGTAATAAAAAATAATAATAAAGAAGATGGTGCCCTGAGACACTTAGGTTTATAGGGAAGAAACAGCATCTGAGACAGGACATGAAAAATCAGGAGTATGCAAGCCTGAGAAGAAAACAAACGCCATCCCAAGTATAAAGACACTTGTTTGCTCAACCAGTATTTGGGTTCTCACCAAGTGCCTGGCAGTATTCCAGGGGCTGGAAGGTCTCCGAACAAGACACATGAGGTCCTTATTCTCAAAGAAATTACATTTGAAAACAGTGAGTGAGGCAAGACAGATAAACAATGAACAACAAATGTTCCATTGGTGATTCCTACCAAAAAAAAATTAATAAATAAAGCTTATGGGCAAGGAGTACTGGGTCACCATGTATGGCCTAAGTAACCAAAGTATGAAGAGTTAGCCTGACTCGAAACGACAGAAAAGATTCAATGACACAACCCCAGAATGGAATCTGGGGTTTTATCTGCCTGTTAACAGGAACACACAAAATTACACATGGGAGAGTAACATGATCTGATCTTCTTAAAGATTATCACCCCTGCTGCTGGGTACAGAACAGATCCTGAGACAAGAAAGGAAGCCGAGACCTGGTGGGCTACTGCAATAGTCCAGGCAAAAGATGACAGATGCTTGACCTAGAGTGACAACTAGGAGAAATGAACAGGTTCAGGTCACATGGCAGAGGCAGAGCCAATATCCTGGATGTAGGAAATGTCAGAAAAGAAATGTCTGAGCTTGGACCACCTGGTGCATAGTAATGCCTTTCTGTGAGACTGGGAAGACTGGGGAGGAACAAGCACTGGCAGAAGAGAATCCAGAGTTCTGTTTTGGCCAAGTGTGAGAAGCCTACACTACCATCAGGAAAAGCAGTCAAGTAGAATGGCGGCTGCCAGGGGCTAGAAAAAAAGAGGGACTGAGATGTTATTGTTACAGGTGTCGTTTGTTTTTTCACATGATGAAGAAAATTATGGGGATGGATGGTGGCAAAGACTACACGTGACAAATACATTTATTATCTCTAAACTGTACACTTAATAGTGGCTTAAAAAGTGAAATTTATGATTATCACAAAAATTTTTGGAAAAAAAATAAAGTAGGCCATTACACAGAAGAATCTGGGATTTTCTGGACAGGTCTAGACTGGAGTGATCAATTGGGAAATCGGCATACAGCTGGTAAACAATGGTGCTAGAGATCACCTGGGTCAGATAGAGAGGAAGCCAGAGGACTAAGTCCTGGCACACAACACTCACAAGTCCAAACCGTTCCGAGAAGAAGCAACACATGATTGGAAAGTGTCCAGAGGTACCAGAAAGCATAAGTCACAGAAGCCCAGCCGTTCACGGTCACCACACATCCCGGCCAACAAGAGACTTGCAACATTTCTGTTCTCTAAAGGGGGAGGCAGGATACAATTCCCTATCTTCCCTATTCCTGGCTTCCTTGCCAATCCACTAAAACATAGTTTGCATTTATGTACTAATTTATGAATTTGACCTTTGAGAGTGGAAAGACAGGCTCTTAACTACATCAGGACAACCGCATCACCAAAAGAATGTCCCTGGCACATCTTGGGATATGCTCACCCTTCCTTGAAACTCAAGAGCTCAAGTTGGACTTCTAAACAAACTCCGGGTAACATTTCCCACTAATGCTCGCTGCCATTGCTCCCCAGAAAGTCTCATGTGGAAGAAAAACCGAAAGGGGGATGAAAAGAAACCTCCACCTAACCAAGTCGTGCACAGAAAGGAGTTCCGTCCAGTCACCCAGGTGGCCTCAGCACGCAACCCCCAGCCGCATGATTAAATCGAGAGCAGGCACGCCAGCGCTGGCCTCGCACCTGACCACTGCCTGGCCCGGCCACCACCTACCCTTCGTGTCTCGGTTTCCCTGGCTGTAAAGCGGGGACGCCCACCTCTCCCTGGACCGCTGGGAATCCGGTGAGGAAAAGGCACGCCCCCCGCAGGCCTGGACTGCCAGGTGAGGAGCACCCAGGTGCCAATCAAGGACACAGGCGCCCCGGAGGGCCCACCGCGGCGGGTTCGAGTCCCCGCTCGGCCCCGGCCCAGCACCGCCTTTCCGCCCCCGCACCAGCGGAACCGGCAAGATCCTTGGCCCGCCCGGAGACCCGGGGCAGGGACACCCACCTCTCGCGACCCCGAGACGCAGGAACCCGGCGGCCGGGAGCGAGGACGCGCGGGCGGGCACTGACCTGCTTTAGGGTGCTGCTGAGGAAGTAGACCAGCGAGAGCCCGAAGACCAGGGCCAGCACCCACCTCTTCCGCAGGAGCCGGCGCCACACCATGGCCGCCAGGTTCACCATCCCAGCTGGGACGCGGGGCGTGGCGGCCGGGGAGCGGAGCAAAGCAGGCCCGGGGACCCGGCGGCATGGCCCCTACACACCGGGCGGCCAGACCCCTAGCCGCAAACCCGGCCCCGCGGTCCGCGGCCCAGCCAGCTCCCGGCATCCGGCGCACGTCGCACCACGTGACCCGGCCCACGCCCCGCCTCCGCTCCGCTTGCGTCACCGGTCGGCCCCTCAAGGACGTCTCGTCATTGGTTCCTGAGAAGAGACGGCCTCCTATTGGCTGAAGCTAGGAGAAGGGGGCGGGCAGTCGCGTGCGACTGTGAAACTGTGCGGGGATCCTAGCGTCCGGCTTTGGGAACCAGAGACATAACCCAACCAGAGGCCGGAAGTACTCGGAAGTCACGTGATGCACAGGACCGGCGAGTGATTGGCTTGGCTGGATGTGAATGATGCGGCTGTGATTGCTGAATTGTCTGGGCAGGTAAAAAAGAGTATGCGGCTCTCCCCCGCCCCCCGCGTGGTCTGTGAAGCCCTTGGAGCCTTAAGAGTGTTTTCCGTTGTGCATGGGGTTGTTGGAATGAGAAGCGATGGCGACATTGTATCCAAAGTGCACCTGCCCTCTTCCAGTGCGAGGGATGCAGGAGATGCTCCCTTGCGGGCACTTCGGGGCAGCCTAGTAACGGCCAGAAAAGTCTCGGTGTGGTCCTTCATAGGGAGCTAGACCTATGCATGGAACAGAGGGTTAAAAGGCGTTTCATTCAATTATTTAGGTGCAAAATTTTATTCCAGAATTCAATGTTGAAATAATTATGTATGGCCTGCGTCCAACACAGAATCTGAAGACCCTTCAAAAGCAAGCATTTGAAAGTAGTGTTGGGCACTCTATTTAGGAGGTTGTGCCAAATTTGTGGTTAGAAACCTTGGGATGCTGTATTTTATTTTCTCCAAGGATTTATTTGCAAGTATTGGCAGATAGAAGGTTGAGGCTAAGTTATTAAGCAAGATTGCAAGTTCTGAGGAAAATATATATGTAATGATCTTTCCTTTATACATAAAGATGGTGCTGCTGACCCATTTCTTAACTAGTGTTCTGAAAGGGAAAGGAAAAGGGTTGTCTATTCTATGTCCCTAAGAAGCCTGGTCAGGAGTAAGAAGTCATTCAATAGCCAGTTATGGAGCCCTGAACTAAGAGTTGGGACCATCTGTGGTCCTGGACAGGAAAATATTCCAAGAGGCCAAAACTATTCATGGAAAGTGTACCACAATGTTTTCTTCTGTTACGTGAGAGGTGAGACAGTGAGCAAGGGATCTAGAAAAAGGTAAGTGGGAGACTCATGGGTGTTTTATCTATTGAATAAATATTTGCAGAGTGCTCTCTGTGACCAGCAGCACTCTAAATGCAGAGGTAAAGGGACAAACCAGGTGCACAGGATTCCTGTTTTTGTGGAATTTACATTCTAATGGGGGAGAGATCACAGATTAATTAATGTGCATGTAAATAGCTGGTAAGTGCTGTGGAGAAAATAAAACAGTGCAATGGTGGAAGGAATCAGGGGTGAACAGGGAAGCCCCCCCCCCAGGTGACCTTTGACCTGAGGAACTAGCTTTTCAACATACAGTGGGAAAAGCATTCCAGGGAAAGGGAACAGCCAGTTCAAAGGCCCTGAGGCAGGGACCAGCAGACATGTTGGAGGAACAGCAAGACCAGTGAGGCTGGAGGTGCATCATAGAAGGGAGCATGGAAGAAAATGAAGTTAGAAGTGTGTGATGCTATGTCAGCCAGAACCTGTAGGCTGTGAGCAGAGCTTTGGGTTTTATTCTGGATTCAGTGGGAAGCCATATTTTCTGAATTCCCCAATCAGAAGGGCTCCTCTTTTGTCAACAGGACAAAATACATTCAGATCATAATTGTCCTAGAGAGACTCAAGGAGAGATCCATAAGGAGCCACCCAGAGATAATAAGCAGATGGGTACAGTTAGCCCTGATGTCACGAGAATTATCATCTACTGGACTATATGTGAATTATTTACCCAAGCGTTCTGTGCCATCCAGGGTTTGGAGTCTGATTAGCTCCCTGACCTGTGTGTCCCTCTGGAGAGGAAAAGGAAGGGAAGGCTGCTTTCTCTCGGATCCAGTGGTCGCATTCCCACCAGGAGCCCTGAATATCCACCTCAGCCGTCGTCACCATGGAGGTCTGAAGTCCATGTGGTTCCTCACAGTGAACCAGGTGACATGTCTCCATTAGAATCCAACCTGCTTCAGTAAATATGAGGGATGGCAGGAAGCTTTGTGTTCAGCCACTCCACTCCACCTGTGGAACCGATGGGGAATATGGAGCCAGAGAGAGGTTACTGATTTGCCTAAGGTCACACAGCCAGTTAGGGACAGCATGGGTCCAGAATCCCCATCTCCTGACTACCTGTCCACTGCTCTCTTCACCACATCCGACACCTCTCTTCCTTCCCATCTCCTTTCCCATGAGACCCTCCTCCACCTCTATGTCCCAACATCTTCATCTGCAAAACGTGATCATTCTTCCTGCAGACATAAATATTGAACTGAGGATCAAGTGGCCACAAAAAGAAACAAAGTTTGAAAAAGGTCGGAGAGCTCTAGGGATGCAGGATACAGGTGGGACTGGCTGGTGGTTGCCATGGTGACCTGAAAGGTGAGAGGCATGTGGGAGGCTTGGCTCACTCCTGTGTTGGCTTCCAGGTGTTAAGGAAGATGCAGAGGCGGCACAGCAGCAACACAGACACCATCCCACCGGAAAGGTAGGTGGCCCCGGGTTTTGTTGCACCCAAAGGGTCCCAGCTTTGAGTAATGAAGGACAGCCCAAAACTGGATTGAAAAGACCTGCCTCTTGGCAGTGTCACCTTTGCATTCCTACGACAAAATACTTGAGGCAGCTAACTTTACAAAGAGAAAAGGTTTATTTAGCTCACAGTTTTGGAGGCTGAGAACCCCAGTGGCACAGCACAGGCTCAGCACCACCCCTTGGCCTCATCACCTCATGGCATGGCTGGCAATGTTGGCTCCATGTGTGGGAATAAGCGAGTATGTCTGAAAATACCGGAGAGAAAGAGACTGGGTTCCCATGGCCCCCTTCAATGGAACACCCCCAAGCACCTCAGGACCTCTGATCAGGCCCCACTCTTAAAGGTCCACAGCACCTCCCAGTACCACCACCACTGGGACCAAGTCTTTACAAATGGACTTTAGAGGACCACTCATTTTATACCTAAACCATAGCACACAGTGATGGCTTTATGCTAAATACCCATCACATAATAACTTGCTCTCACTTTTATGGTCATTTTCACACCCTGTGTGTTAGATGAACTACCTGACTCATTTTAGCAATGATTGTACCCATGGAGTGTGTTTGTTTTCTTTGGGGAGGGGTCCTGGGGATTGAACCGGGGCACTTAACCATGGAGCCACGTCCCCAGCCCGTTATTGTATTTTGTTCAGAGACAGGGTTTCGATGAGTTACTTAGGGCCTTGCTAAACTGCTGAGGCTGGCTTTGAACTCACAATCCTCCTGCCTCAGCCTCCTGAACCCTTGGTATTATAGGCGTGTGCCACTGTGCCAGCCCATGGTGTTTTAATTTATAGAGATGTCTTAGTCTATTTAGGCTGCTGTAACAAAAATACCACAGGCGGGGGGAGCTTACACAGCAAGCATTTATGTTTCACAGTTCTGGAAGCAGGGAAATCCAAGATCAAGGTGACAGCAGACTGTGGCGAGAGCTTGCTTCCTGCTGGAGAGATGGGCTTTTTTTTTTTTTTTTTTTTTTTTAGTTGGGGGCATATCCATAGAGTAGAAGGGGCAGGGATCTCTCTGTGGCCTTAGTCCTGGGGCATGAACCCCATCATCATGGCACACTCATCTTCAAAGGCCCCACACCCTAGTACCATCACTCAGGGGGTCAGGATTTCCACACTTGAATCTGGAGGAGACAGAAACTTCAGTGGGCAACACTAAGAACCCACACGGAGAGGCCAACGACTGTGAAGGAGGCTCTTCATCACTTAGGTTTCCTGACAGGAGGGGCACGCAGGGCCATGTGGGGTAGCACTGACTGGGTCACATGCAGAGGGGGGCACTGGCCATTGTCTTTACTCTGTTTTCTGCAGGAAAATCCAGGCAGGGAAACAGCTTGCCGTCGGTGGTTTGAATGGTGTCCGTGGGCTCTGGGCTGTAAGCGGTCTCTAGTTGTTTGCTGTCTGACTCTGGGTGACTTAGGGCAGAGAAAACACTGGCTTGTACGCGTGAGGGTTAAAAAGTCGGAGGCGGGGTAGCTCCAGGTTGCAGGCAAGATGTGAACAACTCTGGTCCCTTGTGTGGCTATGACTCACAGATGCCAAGTAGATCACGACAGAGGGAACCCATGCACACAGTGCTCGTCGCCTAGAATGGCTATCTGTTTAAATCCAAGAGAGTGTACCCCATGGGGACCTGTTTTCAGGGTGCAATGACATTCCAGCCCCAGACCTCCTTGTCTGTGTGCTTTTCTGCCCTCACATCCCACTGTCTGTCCCCTGTCACTCAGGTGGGTTCCAAAATCACAAGTCGGATCCATCTGTCCAGGCCCAGCTCTGGGACCAAGGTTGGGATGAAGCTGCCTGCTCTGCAGGAAGGTCGCTCACTGGCTACCAGGCAGTCAACCCTTGGCCAAACTCCCACCTGCTGTGGTTCCGGATTGTGTGTCCCCAGAATCCACGAGTCGAAAACATTATCCCAGAGTCAGATGTTGATAGCATTTGGAGGTGGGGGCTTTGGGAGGTCATTAGAGATTAAAGTCCTCAGGGTGGGGCTCTCATGGTGGCATCAGTGGCTTTATAACAAGAGGAAGAGAGAGCTGGGCCCACGCACTTGCTTCCATGGGATTCCCTCCCCCTTGTGATGATGCAGTATGAGGGCCCTTACCAGAAGCAACCCTGTGCTTGTGGACTTCCAGCCTCCAGAACTGTGTGCCAGATAAACCTCTATTTTTTATAAATTACCCAGTCTCAGGCATTTTGTTATAGCAACAGAAAACAGACAAAGACATCTCCCATGGTGCCTCTGGCAAGTGACCTCACCCCTACGTCTCAAATTTTGCATCTGCAGATGGCACATGATAAAACTCAGAGTTGCTTATAAATAAGGGATGAGTGTGAAAATGCACAAATATATCTAGCTTGTAAGAAGCAAGTCCGTTGGAGCCTTCCACTCCCTGAAGACAGCTTTGCCTTCTGTTCCCAAGTGGACCATGAGATCTTTTAGGGCAGAGACCATAGCAGAAAAATAATGGCCACCAAGTAGTGACTGTCCCCACTACCCTCTTGTTAGCCTATTGAGGTCAGGGCTATTTCTGTCTCCATTTTACAGATGAGGAAACAGGTATATCGAGGGGAAGTCAGTCACCTGAAGTCAATGACCAGGAAGTGGCAGGGCTGAGATTTGGGTCTCAGTCTATTTGTCTTCCAGACTCTGTGCTTTGAGACACCACATTTTGGGTGCTTCCTGTCTGAGCAGCTCTACTTGTTCTGGGATGCCACAGGTCCAGACCTTAAGTGGTTAAGTTGGAAGTGCAGCCTCTGTGTCTCCCCAAGGAATAGTCTTTCCCATTTAGGATGAAATCCCAGCTGGCCATCCAGGAGAGGCTCAGGGAAGGGGGACCAACTATAAAAAGCTCTTGGTGGATTGAGTCTTGCTGGTTGTGCCAGCGCGCCATGAACTCAGGGCTTGGAGGAGCAGGAGGGCTTTCTAGAGCCCCGTGGGGCAGTGCAGGTATCCACATGGGCCAGTGTGGCCGCTGCCAGGATTTGTGCTTTCTTTTTTTAGGACTTGTGCTTTCTGAGCTCTGCTTCTTGGAGTTCAGAAAAAGCTCTTGACCCTCGAGACTCATAGCCATGGTGTCTGTTATTGTTGTCATTATTAATATTATCATGATTATTACCCAGAGCCCCGGGAGGAGGACACACATTTCCCAGGCTTTGGGAGTTGATGGGGAAGGAGCATGGGGGGAAAGGGGGAGGTTGTGCCAGGCTGATGAGAATGTACCTCCTCAGGTTCAGTTTGTAAAGCCAAAGAGACCAACCCTGAGACTTCTACAGACCAGCATGTCCCCTGCTGTGTTTAACAAACTTTCTGCAAGACATTCATAGGTTTTCCTTGGATAAAAAGAATTCTGTGAGCTGGGCGTGGGGCACAGCTGTAATCCTGGTTACTTGGGAGGCTGAGGCAAGGGAATTGAGAGCTCAGGGCCAACCTGGGAAACTGAGCAAGACCTTGTCTCAAAAGCACAGAAGGAATTCTGTGGGAACCAGCAGGCTTAAATAAAGTCAATTCTTTTTTCAATTGCAGGCCTTTTCAGAGATTTTAGTGGGATCATGCATTTCTTTTTTCCTTTTCTTTCTTTATTTTTTCATTAGAGATTGAACCTGGGGTATTCTACTGAGCTTCATCCCCAGCTCTTTTTATATATTTTTGTTTTAAAGCAGGGTCTCGCTAAGTTGCTGAAGCTGCCCTTGAACTTCAGTCCTCCTGCTGAAGCCTCCGGAGTTGCTGGAATTACAGGCATGCGCCTTAGCATGCAGCTATTCATTTTTTTTTTTTTCAAGAAGCATTTATTGAGCATATTCTATGTGCTAGTGCACTTGTGATGTGTGGTAGAGAAACAGTCATGGCCCTTGACCCGATGGAGCATGCCCAGTCTAAAGTACTGACTGCATGCTAGAATTCACTGGGGGTCTCCAGAACTTGAGGTGCTGGGGCCTACCCCCAAGATTTTGATTGAATTAGTCTGCAGGGGGGGGCTGGGGCACCTTTATTTATCAAAAGCTCTTTCAGGAGATTATAAGGGGCAGCCAGGATTGAGGGCCACAGGTCTCCAGGAAAGATACCCAATACATTGATGATTGACGGGTCCCGGGCAGGGGAGGTTAGGGTACCTGAGAACCAGAAACAGGTGCAGGCATTTTGGGGGAGGCAAGGAGACCCCACCAAGGAAGAGAGATTTCAGCTGGAATCTCATGGATGAGCGTTGGCAGCCGGGATGGGATGGGGTGGGGTGACGGCGTAGGCGGGAAGCCCCTGAGTAGCGAGGAAGAAGGGTGTCATGACCTTGGAATCTGAGGCCAGGTAGTTCAGGGCATCGGCAAGTTCATCTCTCTGAGCCTTAGTTTCTTTATCTGTAAAATGGAGATGCTGTCAGTACTATCTTTAGGATTCATCTGAGAATGTGAAGTGTAAGCTGAGAAGCCTTTAGATAGTTTTTATGGGATAGTGAAATGATCAAATATATGTGGAATGAGCAGAGAATCCATAGAGGTCAAGTGTGAGAGCAGCTGTCAACTCCCCATAGCCTCCGTTGTATGGCTGTGACATGACTGAATGATAGCTTGTATGTGTTTGTTAAGCACCTACTGTATGCCCTGGGTCATGAGGTCCAGAGGATGGATGCAATTCAGCTTTTCCTATAAGCGGCTCCTGATGTATCTGGAGACCCTTGGGGTTCTGAGGAGGAGCCTGCCACACCTACTTCGGGGACATACAGGGGAGGGAGGTGGGGAGGCTCTGTGCCCACCCCTTCCTCCCCCGCACATACACGTTGAGCCTGTCCTCCCCTCGTGTCGGTGGTGTGACTCGAGTCCACATAGCCTGAGAGAAGGATGGGGGCCTCCAGAACTCCAGGGTACAATGTTCGTGGGAAACTGCCGTCACTTCTGGGCTCCCCGTTCCTGGAGGGGTCACTCTGGGCTCTCTGCTCCTTGGCAATGGCTCCAAAAAAGCCACCAAATCCTTTGCCTCATTCCAACCCCAGAAGCCTGTGCTTGGAACTAGAAAACGAAATTTGGCCTTGGAGATCTCCAGAGGCCTAGAGAGAACAGTTTCCCTGCGCTGAGCACTTAATGCAGTCCAAGTTCATTGCAATGGATGTTTTAAATTTGATACCCGCCCCCAGGAATGCTGGACATGAATGGAACTTGTGCCCATTTTTCTAGCACGGAAACTGAGTACAGAATCATAATGCCCCTGGGAGAGATGGAGTCTGGGTTCCAATGTGGGTCCGTCTATTGAGTTGTCTTCCCATGACTCTCGGCTGCCCACCAAATACCAGCTCTGACCAAGGCTGACCCTTTGGGAAGCTCCAGAGCTAGGGCCTGGAGTTTATACAATTCTGTGCTTGCTTTTCAGTGAAGCAGAACAGTTAAGAAAACCAGCTTTAGAGTTAGTCTGCCTGGGTCCAAATCCCCCTGCCAGACCGACCCCTTACCGGCCATGTGACTCTGGACAAATAATCCATGTGTCTCAGTTTCCTTATCTGTGAAATGGGGATGTTATCAGCACCAATTCAGGGTGGAGAGGGAGATTTAATGAGTTGATCAATGTAACACATTTAAAAAACTGTCCAGGGCTGGGGTTGTAGCTCAGTGGTAGAGTGCTCACCTAGCACGTTGGAGGCCCTGGGTTCGATCCTCAGCACCACTTATAAGATAATTAAAATAAAGGTATTGTTTTTAAAAAAAAAAAAAAAAACTGTCCAACACATAGAGTTTGCAGTAAAGGTTCTGACCCTGTTGTTGTGACTATTTGTATTTATTTGGGTAAGCTTGCACAGGGGGCCACAGGTGGCTTCAACAGTGGAGATTTCTCACAGTGCTGAAGGCTGGAAGGTCAAGGTCAAGGGTGCTCAGGGTTCATTTCTTCCCAAGTCTTTCCTTGGCACTTCACATAGTGGCTGCCTTCTTGTTGTGTCCCCACCTGTGGGTGACTGTGTCCCAAGTGCCTCTTCTTAAAAGGACACCAGTCCTGCTGGATTAGGGTCCACCCTAATGACCTCATTTTAACCCCACGGGAGGACACCGTTGGGTCCATAACGTTATTGCATGTGTCCTGTGGTCCCTGCCCCTCTTATAAAGCCAGCAGGATCCCATCGTAGGGACTTCTCCCTGCTGACCTCACATGGCCCTGCTTGCGCCCTGGGGTGGGGCTAGCTCTGCACCCCGGGGTGGGGCTAGCTCTGCCCTCTTAGTAGCTAGCTCCCCAGGGGACCGCGCTCCAGCAGGACTTGGGGGACCTGCTGGCCACAGTCAGACCGCGCACACCTTGTCGCGCAGAAGCCGCAGCCAGGCGCTCAGCCCCGAGGCCAGCGTGGATGAGGGCGGCGTGTTCGAGAGCCTGAAGGCCGAGCCGGCCTCGCCGCCCGCGCTCTTCTCGGGCCTGGCCAGCGGCCTCCCCGCCAGCCTGGTGCTCGGGCCCGCGGCCGGCGGCGGCGACGTCTTCATCCAGATGCCCGCGTCCAGGGAGGAAGGCGGCAGCCGGGGCGGCGAGGGGGGCACCTACCACCACCGCCCGCCGCACCACCACTTCCACCACGGCGGCCACCGCAGCGGCTCCCTGCTGCAGCACGTGGGGGGCGACCACCGCGGGCACCCAGAGGAAGGTGGCGATGAGCAGCCCGGGACGCCCGCCCCTGCCCTGTCCGAGCTGAAGGCGGTGATCTGCTGGCTGCAGAAAGGGCTGCCCTTCATCCTGATCCTCCTGGCCAAGGTGTGCTTCCAGCATAAGCTAGGTGAGTCCCTGGGGACGCTGCTGTTAGCCTCCGCCTCCCGCAGAGGGCTCCTGCAGCTCATGGGTGGGGGCTCTGCGGCCCAATGTCAGAGGAAGGCAGCAGAGGCTGTGGCCTGCAGAGTGCCTGAGGGCATGGGATTGCCTTCACACCCAGGTTCAGGTTCTCTGACCAGCTGTGTGACTGTGGGCAAGTCGCTTGGCTTCTCTGACCCTTAGTTGCCACTGGGTGGGGGTTGTTAGAGAAACTTCCCCAGCTGGCCAGTTGGTGGAAAGGGTGTAACTAGGAGTTCAGACTTCTGAGATGTGAACCCCACTCTGCCCCTTCCTAACCATGCATTGTGTAAATCTCAGGGCCACAGTTTCCTCATCTGTAAACCAGGGGTTAAGACAGCATATACAGCCTGTTGCAGTGGCTGTAACCCCGGGAGAAGCATCGACTGTCTGGGTGCCATGCTGTGCTCTAAGCGTGGTATTGGGCAAGTTGGGTGTAGTCAGGAGGCTGAGGCAGGAGGAATGTGAGTTCAAAGCCAGCCTCAGCAAATTAGAAGACCCTGTCTCCAAAGAAAAAATAAAAAGGGCTGGGGATGTGGCTCCACAGTACCAAAAAAAAAAAAAAGATAGCATATGCAGTCAGCCCTCCATAGCTCCAGGCTCTGAATCCATGAAGTCAATCAACCACAGATGCAACCTATTCAGAGAAAAATTTGCATATATACTAAACATGTAAGACTTTTTCCATGTCATTCTCAAAAATACACTCTAACAATTATTTCCATGACATTTACACTGTTTTAGGTATTCTAAGGAATCTAGAGGTGATTTAAAGATTGCTGAAAGTGTGTGTAGGTTACATGCAAATACTGTGCATTTTATATAAGGGGCTTGAGCATCTGTAGATTCTGGTATCCACAGAAGTCCTAGAACCAATCCCAGATGACATGGGGGACCACTGAACTTCAGAGGAAAAGTGAGATTAAATCAAGTCAATGTGTAGAAAGTACTTAGGATTGTGCCTGGCATCACTATCTTAATTATATTCCTTATTAACGCACATGAAAATACTTAGCATAGAGCCTAGCACATAGAAAGTGCTCCATAAACACTTCCTGTTGTGTTAGGAAGTAAGAGGACGATTCACAAAGGGCTTAGCCTGCTGCTGACACGCCCTTAGCAGTCAGTAAGTGGTGTCTGGCACAGGACGGTTGTTATTTGTACTTATTTCTATTAGATCGTGGTGTGGCTCGGCCTTACAGCATTTGTGGACTATTATTTAATCCTGTCATAAAAACGGTGGTAAGAATCGCTCTCTTCCCACACAAGAAAATAAGTTGTCTAGGCCATCTTTGGTTTCCTGTTTTCCCCTCTTGGGTGAGTTCTGACCTGCTCCCATGCTTCTCCTTCCTCGCTAGAGTACCTCCCTGTGAGACCTTCCCTTTCGGTTCCCAGGAGCCAGCATGTTCCCCAAAACTTACCCTGAATCCGGGCGCAGTGGCGCACGCCTGTCATCCCAGCGGCTCGGGAGGCTAAGGCAGGAGGATTGCCAGTCAGAGCCAGCCTCAGCCATTCAGTGAGGCCCTAAGCGACTCCGTCAGACCCTGTCTCTAGGCTGGGGATGTGGCTGAGTGGTTAAGCACCCTGGGTTCAATCCCTGGTACAAAAACAAACAACAACAACAACAAAAAACAACAAAACAAGTCACCCTGAATTCTGGCAGACTCACGGCTAAGTTTTCTTCTTGAGTATGTTTATTTTTCAATAAGTGTATTTTGGTTTTGTTTGTGCTTTGTTTTTCATCAAAAAGGAAATTGGAAAAAAGAACAATAGGGTTACTAGTTCTTGTATGTTTTCAGTGAAAAACGATAAACCCCTTTTCCAGAGTGGCTGTGGGAGAAGGCCTGGTGTCCACACACTATCCACAAAGCAGGTGGCCCCCAAGCCCAGGTGCGAAGCGAATTCTGCTTACAGTAGTTAGGACGGAAGTCATCACGAAGGGAGCGTCCCGAGGTGCCGGCAGGGCACAGCGGCAGCTCAGTGAGTTGTGGAATCCAATTCAACCGTTCTCTCATCCGCCTGGGTCACGGTTGCCTCTTAGCTGAGAATTTCCCCCCTTTAGTGTTCTTTTAATTCCTGTGATTTCCTGGGCTTTGTCTGTGGATGTATGCTTTTATTTCATGTGTGCTTGAAATAAAAGCATACATCCACAGATTGGTTTTGACAGTAGAAAGAATAATGGGTGCTGTTTCCTAAGGGCTGGAGGTGATCTTCCATAAGCTCATCCCTCTGGGAGGTGAGCACTGTTATTATTCTGTCCAGTTTGCAGATGATGGAACTGGGGCTCAGAGAGGTGCAGTGACTTGCCCAGGCTCACACAGTAGAGATGGCAAAGCAAGGATTGTGTTTCTAGTCTTGCTAGATGGCACAGCCCATGCTCCTGATCTAGTGCTAAATATTCCCCTTCCCGTGGCCTAACGCTGTCCCTGTCACAGTGGCTCGAGGCTCCCCCTGAGTCACATCTCACCCCTTTCTGTGGTTCACCTGCCGGCTCGGGGGCAGGTCTTTTTCTAACATCGCTGGGCCAGTGAGACTAAGTGGTGCGGGACCCTCTGCCGCAGGCATCGCCGTGTGCATCGGGATGGCCAGCACCTTCGCCTACGCCAACTCCACGCTGCGGGAACAGGTCTCTCTGAAGGTGAGTCGCCCGGCAGGGGAGCCTCCTGTGGCTGTGTCACGCTGCCCACAGCCTGAGTGGCTTAGAGCAGGATGGTGCATGGCCTTACACCTCTGCACGCGAAGTCCACCATGGGCTCTCAGTGACAGTCCCGCTGCCCCCGGGCCGCGCTCCGTCTGCAGTCCCTGGGGCACCTCCTCACCTTTTACAACTCCACAGTCACCTGTGGCCCTTCAAGCAGTGTGGCACCTCCCTCCAGCCCTCCTCTGGGTCATCCTCTCCACTTGTGAGGTCCCTTGTGGTTACACGGGACCCACCTGGATAATCCAGGTGACTGTTCCCACCTGAGGCCCAGCTGACAACCTCAACTCCACCTGCAGCCTGAATTCCCCCACCTGTCCCCTAACTTATTCACAGCTGCCAGGGGTCAGTGGCCCTCCTCGGGAAGATATGCTGCCTGCCGCCACTGGGCAGATCCCACATGTGCCAGCCTTCGCCCTGCCAACCTTTTCCCTGTGACCTGATAAGGAGAGGAAAAAAAATATTCTTACTCATTTTCCCAGTGAGGAAACAGTGGCTCAGAGACGCTAACCCCGAGGTCACACAGCAAGGGCAAGTGGGAACTAGGATTTGAACATAGGCAGTTCAGCCCAGAGCCTGTGCTTATTCTGAGTTCAAATCCAACTCCTTCACCCACCTGCAGCCCCTCAGCCAGATATTCCCGGCGATCTCAGCCTCAGCCTTCACCTCTGGATAAGGTTTATAGATGGTCCCCAACTTATGATAGTCTGACTTCATTGTTTTTCATCTTTACAATAGTGAGAAAGCAATATGCTTTCATGAGAAACCCACTCCATATTTTCACTCTGGGTCTTTTCCTGAGCGACAGATACTTGGTGTGATCCTTCTGTGATTCTGGGCAGCTCCACAAGCCGCAGCTCCCAATCGGCTGGCAATCACCAGGGGAAGCATCGGCTGTCTAGGTGCCACGCTGTGCTGCTGAGCGTGGTATTGGGCAAGTTGGGTGTAGTCAGGGCGTTTTGGACTTAATGCTGTTTTCAACTTAGAGTGGGTCTGTGGGGACAGAGCCCCATCGTAAGTCGAGGAGCACCTACCTGTATTCACACCAATTCACAGATCCATCAAGAAGGCCAAATGAGATTCTGCATTTAGAGGATTCAATGAGATACTGCAGAGAAGTAGTTCAGCACAGCACCCACACACAGGAAGCCTTCAATTGAGCTCTTTTGTAAAACTTATGCTTTCTGTGGCACAGGCAGTCCCGTAACCGAAGCCATCTTCTCTGACCCTTCCACAGCGTCTTTTGCTTTCACCAAAGCACTTGGAGATCCTTGCAGCCTGGAGGGCAGCTCTGTCTCCATTTGCACATGAACACATTGAAGTCCAGAGATAGGGGTAACCAGAGGTCCTTCTTGACCTTTTGTCTCATCTTCGTGTAAGCCCCTTTCTGCTTCTGTTAGAACGGCTGGTTGACTTAACCCCACAGAGGGAGGCTTTGGGGACTGGGTCCTGTCACATAACATCCTAGTGGTGCCTTGACTTGAATTTTAGGGGCTGAAAAGAGGTCTGGATTCATAGACAAACCTCCAGGGTCCCTGAGCCCCGTGAAGACACAAGTAATGTTTTGCCGGTGTGCGTGACGCTCAGTGCACTTACAAATCCCAGCTCATTACTAGGGACCATCCCTGTCCTGTGCACTGTTTTCCCAGGGACTTGCCGAGTCCCCCTTCTGTTCCATTGCTGGTTTAGATTTACAGAGAATTAAAACCAGGATCTATTATTTATTGAGGCAAAAGGGGGCTGCTGAGTGGATCCATCGCACAGACAGGAGTCGGGCGGTTCGAGGTGGTTTCTGTAGTCATTAACCCTGACCGCTCCCAGAATAATGAGTGAATGGGGATGCATTTGTTGGGTCCACTCTCTGGAAACGTGTGCTGCAGCAGGGAGCGGGTGCTGGGCCGTCTGCAGACAGCGTGTCTTGAGCATTTACCGAAACCACAGGGACGGTCACACTGGGAAAGTTATGACCTCATCCTGTTCCAGCAATGGAGCCACCCCGGCCAGGAAGAAGAGCAGCTTTTGGGAATCCGAGCAGAGGGGTCTGCTGGTGTCTCCCGGGTCTCCGTGCCTCCTCTGAGGGGCATCTCGCAGGATTGCTTCTTGCCCTCGGGCCCTGAAGCTGCCAGGAAACAGAAAACTGAGAAGGTTTTCAGTTTGTCTTCCTAGGGACCCAACAGGGACCGTGAAAGGCTGTGACAGCCATGTTTATGAGTGTGAACCCCGTCCTAGGAGTGTGACCCCACATTGAACTGCTGGCCAGGAGAGAGCCCAGAGGTCTGTGTGAGAAAAAAGTGGGAGCAGAAGTCTCCACCACCTCGCTCTGAATCCACTCCCAGGTTGTGTGGTCTCTGTCCGAGGCCCTGCCCCTTAGCGAGCCAGACAGGTCTGGATCCAAACCAGGATGACCCTTTACACGTTAAGTGTGACTTCATCCCTAACGGCAGGACCCTCTTCAAATGGTGACACGTATGCCCTTGAGCAGCAGTTCCCTAACCTCTCTGCGCCCTGTTCTACCCTAAGTGTCACCTAACACTGCCGCCAGGTGCTCTCCTAAGCCTGTGTGACTCCACAGGGTAGGTCCTGACAAGCACTCGCCGACCGGATGAGGAAAGGAAGGTGCAGAGATCAGCAGCTGGCCCAGGACCTGTCCGATGGCGTGTTAGTCAGCTTTTCTTTGCTGTGACCAAATTACAAGACCAGGAGACGTTTATTTTGGACTCCTGGTTTCATGGGTTCAGTCCATGGTCGGCCAGCACCATGCTCTGGGCCTGAGTAAGAACATCATGGTTGAGAGGTGGGATAGGGCAAGCTGTCAGCTCGTGGCATTCAGGAAAGCAGAGAGAGAGAAAATGTAATCTCCAAGGGCCTCACTCCCAGTGACCTCTTCCTCCAGCCACTGCCCCACCACCCAGTCATCCATTCAAATTTCGAATCCCGCCGTGACCAAGTAACCCACTGATTGGGCCCTCATAAGCTAATCGTTTCACCCCTGAACATTCCTGCACCGTCTCTCCTGTTACAGTGCGTGAGGTCTTGGGGGACACTTCATATCCAAACCGTGACCGCCAGCTCCCAGGTAGCCCACCACAGATTCGACCCCGGCCATCTAGCTCCAGGGTCTCTGCCCCAAGCTCCTCCCCTCTTCAGCTGGTTCTCCAATCCGGTGGGCACTACTGTGTCACCTTCTCTGTGCCTACTCTTTGGGTCCCAGTGAGATGGAAAGATGCTGGTGCCCTTTCCCTTTCCCATCAGCCCTGCTTCCTCCAAAACTGTGAGACCGTGAGGTTTCCACTCATGGGGGAACATTCCAGAATGTTCCGCTAGGTGTGCCTTTGTCATTGCAGCATCTCCACAGATCTCTTGCTTTGTCTCCAGGAGAAGAGGTCAGTGCTGGTCATCCTGTGGATCTTGGCCTTCCTGGCAGGGAACACCCTGTGTGTGCTGTACACATTCAGCTCCCAGCAACTGTACAACAGGTGAGTGGGGGAGACCCTTCTAGTGGAAGAGTCGCGGGGCTTGGCTGGGTTTGGGGCCCACACCCCTGCACTTGAGAAGGACACACCAGCCCTGTGTCATGTCTCAGCTCTCGGACTCCAGTCTGTTGTTACACACCGGCGCCTAGGTACCCTAGCAGAAATATAACACAAGCCCCACACACAACTTTACATTTCCCAATTGCCACATGAAGAAAAATAATAAAAAAGAAAAAGACAGTTAATTTTACCAATAGATTTTATTTAACCCAGTACAATCGGCCTCCACATCTGAGGATTCAGCCAACCTCAGGTGGGAGTTGTCAGAAAAAACAATTGTATCTGAAGCTGAGCGTGGTGATGCACCTGCCTATAATCCCAGCGGCTCAGGAGGCTGAGGCAGGAGGATGGCAAGTTCAAAGCGAGGCACCAACAACTCGGTGAGGCCCTGTCTCTAATAAAATTCAAAATTGGGCTGGAAATGTGGCTCCATGGTTTAGTGCCCCAGAGTTCAATCCCTGTTACCAATAATAATAATAATATAATAATGATGACGATGATCGCATCGGCACTAACCGTGCGCAGACCTTGCTTCTTGTATTATTCCCTTACCAATAGAGTAGAGCACTGTTCACGCAGCATTGACATTGTACTATTGGATATTATAAGTCATCTAGAGTTGGTTTCAAGCATTCAGGAGGATGTGATAAGTTACATGCAAATACGGTGCCATTTTCACTGTGAGACCTGAGCATCTTGGATTTTGATGTCCGTAGAAGATCCTGGAATCAATTCCTCATGGACACTGAGGGACAACTCAGTATCAGAAATGCTGTCATTTCAACATGCAATCAAGATAAAAACTCTTTGAGATATTGTACATTCATTATTCTGCATTAAATCTTGGTAACCTGGCATCTTACACATATGGCTCATGTTCCTATCAACTGACCACATTTCTAGTGCTCAGAATGGTCAGTGTGTGGATAGTGCAGGTCTGGATATTTCCAGAAAGACACATGAGACACTAGATGCAGCATTGCCTCTGGGGTGGCACTGGAGATCAGAAACTTGGTTGGAACTGTTTAGCTGTTTGTATTATTTGATTTTTTTTCCTGCTCTGTGAATGTAGCAACTTTTTAAAGGTATTTTATTGTACTTATATGTACATTTTTTAAAAAATATTTTTTAGTTGTAGTTGAATACAATACCTTTATTTTATTTATTTTTATGTGGTGCTGCGGATCGAACCCAGGGTCTTGCACATGCTAGGTGAGCGCTCTACCGCTGAGCCACAACCCCAGCCCCTATATGTACATTTTTAGAAAATCTAGAGATACATGCGAAAGTGGGGTTGGCAAACTCCAGCCATCCATATATTTTTAATTAATGGCATTTAATTGGAACCCAGCTGCACCCCCTCCATTCATGCACGTACATGTGAGGTATGAGTGTTTTTGGCTGACGAAGTCAAATAGCTAGAACAAAGACCATATAACAGACAAAACTGAAAATATTTAAAATATTTTTTTCCAGTGCCGGGTATTGAAACCAGGGCCTCGCACATGCTAGGCTATGCCCCTACTCCTTTATATTTTATTTTAAATCAGGGTCTCACTAAGTTGCCCAGGCTGACCTTGAACTTGAGATCCTCTCGCCTCAGCCTCCTGAGTAGCTGGGATGACAGGTCATGGTTCTTTCATAGGAAGATTGTGCGCCCGACCTAAAATATTAGCCATGGCCCTCCAGAGGTTGAATGTGTGGGTAATGGTAATGCTTTATTGTACTGTCTGTATTTTGTAATGTTTTTGTACTGGACAGACTTTTTCGTAATAAGAGCAGTGCTTTTGTAATTATTAAGAGATAAAATATCTATCCTCTCTGGTTTCATCCGGGCAGGAACAAGGGTCCCCTACCCTAGACACACATCACATGACCTGGGGACTCTGTTCTCATGTGACTTTTTGACTCAGAGTCCTGGGCAACACAGTGACAGGTGGGAGGCTGAGCCACAGGCACAGAATGGACTGCTTGGCCCTGATTGGTCATCAGCTGCCTTAAAATTTCCCATCACCTTGGCAACCAAGCCCCTGGAAAGTGCTCTGAAGCCAGTGAGCTTCACCAGAGCTCCAGCAGGTCCAGGAGGGCAGCACCCCACTCCTGGAGCCCGTCACACAGTCAGAACTTGTTCCTGAGTGTTTCAGGGCTGCCTGCCACCTCCTGTTTCCTGGTAGCGAGGCACTTTCCTAGGTACCTTGTACAATGTCCATACTTGTTTCATTAATTTTTTCAAATAACTAAATAAATGAGTAACACTTTTTTAAAATTTTTATTTATTTATTTTTATTTTTATTTTTTGCATGACTAGGACTTTGCACATGCTATATGAGTGTTCTAGCACTGATCCGCACCCCGACCCCTGTCCTTTTATTTATTTATTTATTTATTTGTGCCAGGAATTGAACCCAGGGCGCTTAACCACTGAGCCACACCCCCAGCTCTATTAAGATAGGGTCTCACTGAGTTGCCCAGGCTGGCCTCAAACTGGTGGTCCTCCTGCCCTGGACTGCCACATACCTGGGATTACAGATGTGCACCACCATACCCAGCTCAGGCTTTTAAAAGTAATTTATTTTTCTGACTTTGAAGGTAATTTATTTTAAATGGTGAAATGTTAGAAAGAAGACACATTTTTTAAAAGACCAAAATTGCCTCTATTCTTGTCACCAAACTGCCACCAGGTTAACATGTTTCTCTGCAGGTGTGTGTGTGTAACTGTTAGAGGAGGTGACATGCAGAGCTTGCCACTTCGTGACACTTTCTCCTTCATTTACCACCTTTTCACTTTAAATCCACAAGTCGCCTTTATTGTTACTTCCGGTGCCAGTTCTCAAGACTATACAGAGGATCCCTTATCCAAAAACCTTGGGACCAAAAGTGTTTCAGACTTGGGAGTTTTTCAGATTTTGGAACACTTGTGTAGACTTTACCCACAGAGCATTCCCAATCTGAAAATCATCCTAAGTCCAAAACGCTCCAAAATCACAATGCTCAAACAGCTTCAGATTTTAGAGCATTACCCATTTCAAGTTTGGAGATCAGGGATGCTCGGCCTGAACTGACAAAAGTTATCAACTCCAGCCCTTTGGGATGCTGTCATGTCAGGCCTTGCTCCAACGAGGGGCTCGCTCAATCCTAGGAAAGCTGAACAACCAGGCCCTAGACGGCAGGAACCAGAGAAATTCCTGGAACCCGTCAGCCAGAAATCGTGGACATTGGTTTTGATGTCAGCTCTTGGCATGATTAAGCCTCTCACTGGCTCCCTTAAAATTCAAGAAAGAGGAGAGCGCCTGACTGGCTTTTCGTGGGCTAGGGGTCCAGCCCTGCCCAAGCACCTGTGGCCAAAAGGGCCAGGTCACCAAGGACCAGATGGCTTCCTTGAGGATGGCAGTAGTGACTGCATCTAAGAATGGAGGGTCACGTGCTCAGATGCCACAGATGCAACTTTGCAGAATCTGAGAACTGTTTGTGGGAGGATCCGAGGGGGAGCTGAACCACAGACCTACACCACCCACAAGATTTTGTAAATCTCAGACCTGGAGATTTCCCAAACCAGTGAAGCATCCCTCAGCCAAAATTCAGAAGTCCACCATGTAGACAGCAGCTTGCTTTTTGCAGTTAAAAAGACATTTTAAAATGATCATCCTATAGGAACCAAAAGGTAGAAGGAACCCAAGTGTCCACTGGCAGATGAATGGATAGAATGTGCTCTGTCCATGTAATGGAATATTACTCAGCCTCGAAAAAAGAAAAAGGGTGGAAATTCGGACACAGGTGACAGCATGGATGAATCTTGGGGATATTTCCTAAATTGGAATAAGCCAGTCACAAACACACACACACACACACACACATACACACACACACACTCTTCTCTCTCTCTCACACACATAAACACACTGCACGATTCTACTGACGCAAGGTATTTACAATAGTTAAATTCATACAGGCAGAAAGTCGCAGGGTGGTTTCCAAGGGAGGGGGAGTGGGAGCTGTTGTCTGATGGGTGTGGGTTCAAGTTCTGCAGGATGCGGAGCTCTGACGCTGGGTGGAAGTGAGTTGTCAACCGTGTGAGCATCTTGTATTCATAACAATGGTCAAGAGGCAAATTTTATGATGTGTGTTTTACCAGTTAGGAGAAAAAAGATCATCTACCACCTGCATCATTTCATAAGATGAGTTATTTTAACAACAAAGAATTAATTAAGAATAAAGAACAACCCTGAGCCAGGTGCAGTGGCGCATACCTGTCATCCCAGTGGCTCGGGAGGCTGAGGCGGGAGGATCGCGAGTTCAAAGCCAGCCTCAGCAAAAGCGAGGTGCCAAGCAACTCAGTGAGACCCTGTCTCTAAATCAAATACAAACTAAGGCTGGGGATGTGGATCAGTGGCTGAGTGCCCCTGAGTTCAAATACAGGTACCCAACCCCCCAAAAAAAGGAACAACCCTGTCAATGGAACACTCCCCTTCATTTTAGAAAAAGTGTTTGAAACAGTGTTAAGAGTATGTTACCAAAATGTTCCCGCTCTGTGCGGAACTGAGGGCTGCCGGGACGGAGGGAAGGCTGTCTCGTGGAGGGTGGGGGAAGGGCCTCTGCCTAGGGTTGAAACAAGTCAGACTCGCAGATCACGTCCCCCGTTTTGAAAATGGACTTTGAGGAGTCAGTAGTTTGGACACTTCCTGAGGCCTCCCCATAAGAGCAGCCCTTGGAGTTCATCCCAAGACTCAAGACACATCTCACCCCCTGCCTTGGTCATGTGGTCCAGAATCTCCAGTCCTGGTGGAGGGTAGAGGGGGTGGAGTTTCCCAGAAGCTTGGAGGAATTTCCCACTCATGCCATTTTCTGGGCATGATCATATTCCAGGCTCAGACCTCAGTGGCCCCATCAAACTAGGGCTGAGTCAAACTGGCAGCCTAGAAAGAGCAAGAGAGAGAGTGGCTTAAGAGAAAAGCAACAGAGCTCAGTCCTTGTCCTTTCAGATGCCACCTGTCTACAGTGTGCACATAAGTGCTGCCAACAGCCATTGTCTTATTTAGCCCTCCCAGTGACCCAGCAGGGTAACGCCATATCCTCCCTTCACAAGTGAGGAAACCGAGGCTTTAGATCCAGAAGGATGAGAATGGTTATCTGTTACTATAAGAAAACACCCAAAATTGGGTGCTTTTTGAGGAAATGAGGTTTATCTAACTCACATTTCTAGAAGCTCAAGGGCAAGGCACTGATGTTGGCATGCCTCTGGTGAGGACCTGGGGCCAGATGAACTTGGAGACCAGAAGCTAAAAAGAAGAAGGACCAATATTGGCTTCCCACTAGGTCCTGCCTTTTAAAGGCCCCACCACCTGTCTCATCACCCTCTGAGCACCAAGCCCTCCACCGTAAACCTTTGGGGCACAAACCACATTCAGATCACAGCACCTTCCTAAGGAGCCTCAGCCCCAGAGACAGCGTTTAGCAGTGACCTTGAGTCCTCCCAGGATTTGAACCCTGATGACCAACCTCCGGGAACCTTAATTCTACCTCTTGCCTGCATTCTGCCCCTTGGCAAGTCCTGAGAAACCAGGGCTGAGTTAGTTCTTCCTGATCCACCTGAGCAGGCTCCGTAGCAAGGCCAGGTGTCGGAAAATACATGAAAGAACTGGGTGAACTATAAAGCAGTTGACATGTAGTCATCATATTATTTTAGGGTTAATTACTATAATTATGGATGATGGCGTCTAATGAGCAAAACTGACCATCAATCTGTCAGCCCGTTAAAAGTTCCTGGAGCATTTTAGAAACAAGTGAACTCTCTGTGGGAAAATGCGCCACTTCCCCCTCCCCCACCCCCACCAAAAGCAAAAAAAAAACAAAACAGGAAAAGCACCAAGATGATAAGGTAAAACCCAGGCAGGTGAGTCAAACGTCAACTGGTGTCTTTGAGATGAAATGGAAAGTCTGAGACCGAATCTTGTTATATTACAATCAGAGACGCATAAAAGACTTGCAGAGTGCAGCAATCAGCCAGTCAGTTTGGGATCCCCAGGAAGGAGCCAAGTGGAGCCAGAGAGGGGAGCGCAGGCCCCAGTCGTCTTCCTGTGTTACGACGTGGGTGTCCACTTGAACTTGGAGACGAGGGGTCCCAGGGAGACAGACTGGGATGTGGACAACACGCAGATGTGGGGAGCGGTTGCCACCATAGAGGGTCCTCTTGGATTTTCCCTACTCTCGCTGCTTAAAGAGAGCAGGAAAACCAGGTGGATCTGTTCCTAGGATGCTTAAGAGGTTCGTCCCCGCCCTTGTCTGCCAGGCCAGCAAGGTATTTCCGAAGCGTTTGGGAGGCCGACAGGACCCATCCCGGCCTTGGCTCAGAGCCTCTGATCCAGTGGGAAGGAAGGAAAGATGCAGATTCCAAGCCCAGGGCCATGCGCTGAGCCCCCATGAGCAGGTGACTCATGCCCAGTGCCCTCTGCTCAGGATGGGAGCATCTTAGTTCCTACTTCACAGAGTCTTGGGAAGACGAAATGAGCTGAGACACAGGAAGTCCATAGAGCAGGCCCGGCAGGAAGTGAGAAGCCAAGGTGTTTTACGACTACTGTTCGCATAATTATGAATAACACTTTCATCCTCAGGGGTGATGAGAGCGGTGCTACTCAGAGTGTGGTCCGTGGACAGCTGCCAACTTGAACCCTGCTTGTTGTTTGTCTCCCAAGAGTTGAGAACAAACATGGAGCGTGAGGTCTAACTTGGCTGGCCGTGGATAGATAAAATGGGTTTACCCTGTGCGTACTAAGGATTAGGAGAGCGTTAACCCGGGAAGCCTGCACCTCATCTGCCTCCGTCCCTTAGTACCTGTACCACTTTGTGCTGATTTGCCATTCTGTGCCTCAGTTTTCTCGTCTGCAAAGAGGGTTGGATAAACACACCTGCCTCCTGGAATTGCTGTTACCATTGCCACCGCAGCCTGGCAGGGTCTGCAGTGTGTCTGTGATCCCCAAGGCCTGTCAGGAACACCGTCAGGGAGGGTGTGATTCCCATTGTACTGATGTGCACACTCAGGTTTGCAGAGAAAACTGTACTTACCCAGGTTCCAGCAAATGGAGAAGCCAGAGTTCAAACTCAAGTCTGTTGGATACTAACATCCTTATGTTATTATAATGTGACCTTGGGAGACTTGTGTCTCCAAGCTTCAGTCCTTTTTATAGAGGTTAGCTGTGCCTGCTGGAGAGGGAGATTTAATGAGATACACTGAGTGTACGGTGTAGCCCAGTACCCAGCCTGCAGTTGCCCTGCGTCCTCTGCAACGTTGACATGACTTCTCCCCTTCTTCCTTCCTTTGCCCACTTTTGTCAAGATTCTTGTGGATCCATAAAACTGGAGGGGACCTTAACGATGTTCCAAGCCCATCTCTCCCTATAACCCTCAAGGGAACTGAGGCTCAGAGAAGTTAAGAGACCCACCTGAGGTCACACAGCAGGTTTGTAGCAGACTCAGGAATGGGACACAGAGGTCATTGCTGTTTCTGTGGGTAATATTTCCAAGGCTCCCGGGTGAGCAGGCAGAACTACCAAGGGCCGGGCTCTGGATAAACATCTTGGCTCTGTGAATTCTCCCCAGCCTCATCTTCCTAAAGCCCAACCTGGAGACGCTGGACTTCTTCGACCTGCTGTGGATCGTGGGAATCGCAGACTTTGTGCTGAAGTACATCACCATCGCCCTCAAGTGCCTCATCGTGGCCCTGCCCAAGATCATCCTGGCGGTCAAGTCCAAGGTAGGTCCTGGCTGCGGCCACAGCCGCCCCCAGCCACACGGATCACGCAGGGGATCCTGGGCACCTTTTAGAGGAGGAAAGAATCGGCCAAGAGCAGAGCTGAGGTCGGCTTGTCAAGTGCACAGAGCCTGAGCTGGCAGCTCTGTCACCGGCCGGGGTCATATGGAAGCTGAGCGTGGCTTTGGCCAGTACCTTCTTACGTACTCTGTGAAGACGTTTCCTAGTTACTCTAGTTGAAGCTTCTCTGATGCTAAATTCATCGTGGGGTGGGGGGATGTTGCTGTGATCTGGGTCCTGTGTCCTGTGTCCTGCTCCTCCCAGGGAAGGGTGGCCTGGTGGGCTTTGACTCTCTGTCTTCCAGGGGCTCATTTTGTAAAGGGGGCTGAGGCTCAAAAGGAAGGGCTCTGTGCTCGATTGGTGATGTCTGCCATGGACACAGGAGGGGTGGAGGCAGCCGCGAGGCTTTGCCGTGGGCCTGGGCTGCAGGCGGACACTGGGCAGAGAGGTCTTGGCAAACAGCCATTGAAGTTCTGAGGACTGAGAAGGCCTAGGCAAAATGCCACCGTGGGATATCGTGATTCCCAGTGATTCTAAGATGACCCAAAGGGACCCTGGACAGAGGCAGGCAGACTAAAGCATCTCTCCAGTGCCTGGCTTCCCTTTCCATAAAAAAAAAAAAAAATAGCCATCTTTCCAGTTCAGAAAGCTCAGAATTTGTCCCAGACATTGCTTGGCAGAGAGCAGGTCAGACTTGACCATCCATCTGAGTGACAACGGACCCAGCCCATTAGCCGGGGTCAGCTTGGAGCCGGTGTCTCCGCTCCCCGCTGGGTATTGATCTAGGTGAGCCAAACCCCAAGCCACTGAGGTTTTCTGAGATGAAGCCACAACTCGGGGGCCAAAGCCAGTGACAGGTAGTTAAAGACACTTGAAGATCAAAAGACCCACGGGAAGGAAAGTCAGGAGACACACAGTGGCCTGAAGAAACCCTGAGGTGCCCCCTTACTTCCCCAAGACCCTCATGACCACTACCATTTGCTGTTGAGTTCCTGCCAGTGGCCGCAGGCCCCATGCCCTTGACTCCAGGAAGCAGCACGGCCCAGGTTCACTCTGGTGGAATTTGACCTCAGACACATCCACACTCTGGGCCACCTCGACTCCTCCCTAGCTGTGTGACTTGGGCAGGTAACAACCTCTCTGAGTCCTAGTCTCCTCATCCGACTTCCTTTAAGGTACTCATTTCATAAGAACGATTGGTATGGGACACACCAAGTGCTTTGCCTCAAGTCCAGGGGAGAGTAAATTGCTCAATTCACAGGACAGGTTGTACTGGGACCAGGGCTCTCCAGGTTTGGGAATATTTATGTATACATAATGAGACATCTCAGGGATTATGCCCACGTCTGAACACGGGATGCATTTTTTTTCCTATATTCCTGACACAAAGACCTGAAGGTAACTTGAATAATATTTTTAGGGCACCTGTGTTTTGACCAGGATCATCACACAAGGTCAGGGGTGGGATTCTCCACTTGTGTCATTATACCTGAGCTCAAAATGTTTTGCATTTGGAACTTTTTCCAGATTTCAGATTGTTGGGTCAGGGGTGCTCGGCCTGTGCTGATATCATTTATCCTTTTTGACTGTCAGCTCTCACTGACTAGCTGTGTGGCCTTGGATGAGTTTCTTAACCTCTCTGTGCCTCAGTCGCCTCATCTATAATATGGGGATAATAATTTTACAGCTGATGTCTTGCAGTTAACATGTCTGTCTTCTTCACCCTGCTCTCTGCCCAGACCTGTGTGTATTTTGTGTGTGTGTGATAAAGTCCTGGGGATTGAACCCAGGGGCGCTTTACCACTGACCCACATCCTCAGCCCTTTTTCTTTTGAGTCAGGGTCTCACTAAGTTGCTTAGGGCCTCCCTAAGTTGCTGAGGCTGGCCTCACGCTTGCAGTCCTCCTGCCTCAGCCTCCTGAATCACTGAGACCACTGGTGTCCTGTGTGTATTTTAACACTGGGCTCCTGTGCCCAGTGTCCTCCAGGTGGCTTCAGCCAGTGGTAGGCCCAACAAGAGCTGCTGTGACAAACTCTTACAAATTTGGTGGCTTAAAGCAAATTAAAGTGAATTGACTTTTCCATTCCTCTCCAGGTCAGAACCTGACCTGGGTTTCACCAGGCTCCAGTCAGGGTGGCAGGTGGTGCCTGGGCTCTTTCCTTTCCCATGGGGTCAGGATGGCAGGTGGGGTCCTTCTCGCATCTTCTCTGTCCTCCCTTCCCTGGTCACCTCTCCCTCTCTGACTCTGGCCTCCTGGCCTTCCTCTTACAAGGACCCTGGGATCACACTGGGCCCATCTCAAGGTAAAGTCCCCTTGGCCTTGTCAGCTGGTGTCTTCACAGGTTGTGGGGACTGGGATGGGGACCCTGTGGTGGGGGCTACTCTTCCGTCCACCACACCTGGCTTCCTCCCTTCCGGGTCACCACAGGTCACTGTCCACAGGTCACTAACCACTGGACACTCAGCAACTCACGAATCTGTACCACCTCCCGTGAAGTGGGTGCTGTCACTCCTCCCGTCCCTCCTCAGAGTGGGGCCCTTCCTGGCACGGGCAGCTTCTGCAGCAGCTCTCTGCCAGGCCTGGCATGGACCTTCTCTCCGCCCCTTCATCTCCATGGCGGCCAGCTGTTTTTTTGTGGACAGGGCTCTCCAGACCAGACCACCCGGTGGCTCCCCTACCCCTGGCCTGCACCTTCGTGACCAGCACTTGTATCCCACCCTCCTCACGGCCAGCCCCTCCGCAGCCTGCCAGAGACCCCCCTGGGCAGTTTTGAAGGTGAAGAGATGATGAGGATCCAAGCAGGCCTGGCCCGGGGCAGATGCTCCATGAATGTCGGCCACCAGGATGACCTTTCTTTTGTTTTGGTACCAGGGGTTGAACCCAGGGGCATTCTGCCACTGAGCCTCATCCCCAGCCCTTTTGTGTGTGTGAAGCAAGGTCTTGCTAAGATGCTGAGGCTGGCCTCAAACTTCCAATCCTCCTGCCTCAGCCTCCTGGGTTACTATGCACCACCCCACCCAGCGGATGATCATCTTTACTCACCACTGTGCTCATTACTCCTCCTGCTGCTGCTGTCTCCCCCTTCCTTTCAAGGTGGGCACTCTCCCCGTTTATGGACAAAGAGATCAAGGCTTAGAGATCCCTGCAGACACCTGGCAGATCTACGATTTGCCCCCAGGCCCGACTGACACCAAATCCAGGGTGTGTCAGTCACCTGTGCATCTCTGTGACTAAAAGGCCTGGCAAGAACAATTTAAGAGGAGGAAGAGTTTATTTAGGGCTCATGTTTCCGAGGCAAATTCCACCATGGGCCAACTCCGTTGCCCTGGTCTGAGGCAGGGCAGAAAGTCATGGAAGGTGTGTGTGGGGGGGGAGCTGCTCACCTCCTGGCAGCAGGAGAGTAGAGAAAGTTCCCACAAGGAGCCAGGGGCAGGAGTGTAATCCCACAGGGCATGGTGGCCCAGCCTGTAGTTCTAGTGACTCTGGAGGCTGGGGGGGCGGGGGGGGTCGGGAGGATGGGGAAGATCATAAGTTCAAGGCTAGCCTCAATAATTTAGCAAGGTCCTAAGCAAGTTAGCAGGACCCTGTCTCAAAATAAAAAGGGATGGGGATGGGGGTCAGTGGTTAAGTGCCCTGGGTTAAATCCCTGATACAAAAAAAGAAAGAAAGATCTCTAATCCTGAGGGCACACCCCCAGGCACCGACTTCCTTCAGCCACCACCCTGCCTGCCCGCAGCTGCCGCCCAGCATGATAGTGCTCTCAGTTATTGACCCATCAAATGGCCAAGTCCCCTGATTAACTCGCAGCCCCATAACCTAGTCATTTCGTTCAGAACATCCCTGTGTTTACACCTGAGCTTGGGGACACCTCCTATCCAAACTGTAACATCGGGGCCTCTTGCAGCTGTCTGATCTCTGAGAACCCCGGCCGGGTGACTGTTCCCACAGACTCATGTGCCTGACATTGGTGTCATTAGGCCTGGAAACCCCAGGGAGAAGCTTCCGGTGGGCCTCCTCCTCCGTGCACCTGCCTGGACCTCGCACCATGTAGGACAGTGAGGGTGAGAGCTACACTGTGAGCTCTCTGGGGACCCTGTGCCTGGACCAGGAATGGCCTGTAGCCATCACCTGCATAGACAAGAGTGGGCCATCTCCTGCCAGGGGACACTAGCCTCGGCCACCTGCAGGCATGGGGCTTGTCATCCTCTTGAGCACTAAGACCCCTGCCTGGCCACTAGCCACACCAAGCCCTGGCCTCGCAGCCCTGGTTGGGGCGGGGCTGGGGCTGATAGCACCCAGGCAGGGCCTCCCTGCCCCCACCTACCTGTGCACCTGCTGGGAGCTCCTGGCTCTGGGCAGCCAGCAGGGTGGGGCCGGGGCAGGAGAGACAGAGCCCGTGCTGGAGCCCACGGTAGTCGGTGCCTGAGAACAGACTGTCACAGAAAGTCATTTGTCAGCCCATTCTAGTGAGGAGCAGGAGCAGCTGCAATAGCAGGCCCTTGCAGGGTGTGTCCCGGGCGCTGGTCACTGTCCTGAGTACTCTGATTACCGTTGCCCTGGGGATCAAGGCCAGCCCACCCCGTTTTCACACCTGTAGGAATTGAACTACGCTTGCCCAAGGCCACCCAGACAGACACGAAGACCATCCATGCCATCAGGCAGCCACCCACCTCTGCCTGAGCTTGAATTCCTCTGCTGCAGCCGGAACAGGGGCTGTCACAAAGCCACGTCATAAGTAGACTTAGACCCGAGAGTGCAAAGCCAGAGGAACAAGGCCTCCTGGCGGCCACCCAGCTCTGACCGCAGCTCATGCCATCTCTGGGTCCACCCTCAGGTGCCTAGGGGAGGGCCCTGGCCAGCCCGAGTCCTCTGTTGTACCAACTGGTTTACAGCCCAGTGACTGGCCAGGAAGGGGCTCCACTGGTCACATGCTCACCCCCCA